GATTCTATACTTCGTACATTTCAAGTTCTGATTATTAATGGATGATTACAGCTGTTTCTTCCCATTTTAAGTTGTGCCACATCAACAAATGGAGGTCCTGAAAACTTTATTCCGGCCACAACATTAAGGTTGACTCTACTTTGAGGTGGCAGCTCTTCCCCAGTTGTATTTTGAGTGCCCTCCACCCTGAGGGGCTCATCTTCTCACACAAAATTGGATAATGTTTCAGGGCTATTCATAAAAGTTGTCCAGTAATTTACCAGGCTATTCATTAAGGTTTTCACTGGCCAATTCTTTTGAGAAGTAGATGGCCCCTTCCTTCTTCCAAGTCTGTCTTAGTCATTAACATTAGGTTATATCATTTATTAGTTTTAAAATCCTAATCAAGTCACAGTTTTCACATCTTTAAGATCATAATTTGCCCTTCTGAGAGTTGCTGTGAGCATCAAATAAGACTTAAGAAAGTCATGTGAACTGCTGCACTAACAACATCCTAAATAGCCCTTTCTTTATTAAAACTAACAAATTTTACTATAACCAAAAAGCTATGACAAGTCTAAGAACAGCATTCTTTCTTTAAGTATTCTTAACTATTCCTCGTTAGAAAGGATTCATTGTTAACTGGTAGCAAAAATAATTTCAAATATACACAAGCTTGTTGAGAGTGATCAGTCACAACCATGTTGGTCACTATGTGTGAAAAACGTTTTAATTAAAAAAAAAAAGTTATAAAACTTTTAATCTAATGTATGTATAGGTAGTTTCCAACTTAAAATTTATTTGTGTTATCACGAACCTCACTTAAGACCGTCTTTTTTCCTGTACATCATTAGTAATACGTACTGCATACAGTGTTACAGTGAGTAATTTGCTGATATTATCTTTCTCAGATGTTCACTTGCAGATGTTTACTGTTAACGATTTATAAAGCTATTGATAAAGGCAATAACAATGAAAAACAAACAAACAAAAAATGAGGTATTTGACTTATAGCAGAATCACTGAAAGGGAACCTTCTCATAAATCGCGGACTACCTGTATAGGTCTCATATTTATGATCTAGCATTTTTTGTTTTTCATCATGTTTTGGTAGCTAGATCAACAATGAATAGTTTACAATTAAACTATTTTGTCTTTCAAGAAAAACTGTTCTGAAAATAAGTGAAAAATACAAAGTAAAAACCTCTACCAATATTCTACTATTAAAAAGATATCTATCAGCATAGATACATACATGACCATATTCCTCAAGATCTCCTTTTCCTTCCTCAAGCGTAACAAAATTCCCTGCTGGTGTCCTATGTAAAGATAATCGGCCTTTTTTGGACCTTTTATTGGGATCAGCAACTGGATCCTTGAAGACATTAATCTGGAATCCAAATTAAGAAAGTTAGAGAAAAAGAAGAGTGATCATCATAAATTTTCACTCAATTCCTACTTAAATAATACATCCATAAATAAAATATATCAATTTTAAGTACTTCATAAGTGTAATTAAACCAATCCATATCTGGCTTTCAGAAATGTAACTCTAGCTTGTGTGGATGAGAGTCATCTGTTATGAAAAGAACAGAATCCAATGTCCTTTCTTACCACTGAAGAATACTGCATTTTTAATATGTCTTTAAGATTTTTATCATGTGACCCTTAAAGAACCACCTTCTATAGTACAAAATGTCTTTAAGGTGATCTTTAGTACACTCATAATATTGAAAAAGAAAAAAAATCGATACCAATACTATGTATATATAAACTGTGGAGAGTTTCTACTTCATAACCTTTTCTTTTTGTTAATTTTTACTGTTACTTTGTTACTATCAGAAGCAAAACAAAAATGCTTAAGACAGCAGATTATTGGCTTCAGGATCAGAAAACTACGAAGCAAGACGTTACATAAGTAAGTAGCTGTTGTTATGTGCCATCGAATCAAACCTGACTTATAGGGACTCCTCCTTGGGTTTCTGAGGCAGTATCACTACGGAAGTAGATTGCCCAACCTTCCTTCCGAGGAGCGGCTGGTGGGTTTGAACTGCCAACCTTCTGGTTAGCAGTCAAGTGCCTTAGGCACTATGCTACCAGAGCTCCCAAGTAACTAGTAGTGGCAGTGAAATGAAAAGCAGAGGCAACCTATGTGTTCTCAAAAGTTCTTGGCATCACCCTAGCCTGACCCTTTGTTCACTAGAATCCTCAGTTCTCAAGAGCCTCTGCAAGAGCTAGTGAGCCTGCTGATGGCTAGGTTAGCTGACATTTCCCTTCAAACATGGCCAACTTTTGGTTTCCCACGTATATACTGAAGCTGTGCAAAGTGCCTGACCTGTATCCTATTTCTTACATGATCTCTCTCTCACGTTCTTTGTCTCCTTTCACCAAATATCTTTTTTCTCCTTACTCAGGTCATTACCTAGCTTCTCTTTTCCTCCCTTGTTTCTGAATCAAAGTGTCTAACAAACTTATTAATAGTCCAGGACTACATCATACACATGTAATAACCACTCTAGCTAGATAGATATACACAGAAAGTATAAACACACACAAGGAGTAAAAGGTGAAGAACATACCCCAAGGCCATTGGTTACCACATAACTGCACTTGAAAGAACAATTTAAGAGATCTCTTGTTAACTTCTGTAGCAAAGCTCCACCAGAACCAAAGGAAACATTCTCAATACTCCATTTTTTTTGCTTCATGCCTTCTACTATCTAGATGATTAAAAATAAACAACAAAAAATCAATCTGGAAGAGAATGGAAGTGATTTCCCATGGGGGAATACTGCTGAACAAATCATTCTACAACATTTTTTTTCCCAAATAAGAATCAGTAATTAAAAATGAATAAGGCCTAGATAAAGTCATATTCCATACTTTGTAAGACCCACCCCCTTCAAAAAGGGAAGCCTTCAAACTGAGGTGTATGTTTGAAAGGGGAGTTTCATTTATATTTCTGATTCTGTGTTGCCATCATTGTTGTGGTTAGGGTTGGGAGAATGAAGGAAATGAGAGAGAATGAGAGAGGAGAGAGAGAGAGAGAGAGAAGATAGAGAGAGAGAGAGGGAGAGAGAGAGAGAGGCAGAGGCTTCAATTACCTGCTCCTAAGGTTACTTGCGGGAGCTCTGGTAGCGTAGTGCCTAAGGCACTTGACTGCTAACCACAAGGCTGGCAGTTCAAACCCACCAGCCTCGCCTCGGAAGAAAGATGGGGCAATCTACTCCCACAGTGATACTGCCTTGGAAACCCAAGGTGGGGTCACTATGATTCGGGTTCGACTCGATGGCATACAACAACCACAGCAACAAGGTTACTTGCAGGAGTTCTGGTGGTGTAGTGGTTAAGGCATTTGGCTGCTAACCAAAAGCTCCATGGTTCAAAGCCATTAGCTGCTCTGTGGAAGAACAATGAAGCAGTCTGCTTCTGTAAAGATTTATAGTCTTGGAATCCCAATGGGGGTCGCTATGAGTCAGAATCAACTCAATGGCAGTGAGAGTTCTTCAAGGTTACTTAAGTCAACTTTTCTATCTACCTCAAGTTAGTGTGTAGATGACAGCAACAAAAGTTAATGGGGCCCAGATATTTACCTGAAATTGCTAGACTATAAAAATAATGCTAACCATCATGAACAAACTGGAGTATGTCATGCTGGAAAATGTCATATTGCACACCA